GCTGAAAAAACACACATAGAGCATATTCTCAGACGTTGTGTCATGCTGTAACTTGAGTTGTCATTATCTATCAAAATGCAAAATTGTGGGAACAGGCAAGAAAAAGGTTAAATACACAATTATATAACTAAGAGAAAAAAGACATTTAACTATTTGCAGTCCGTCCAACGAGTACATGTAGTATAACCTAATTATCTATATTTCGGATGATCTTTGTGTCTATTGTTTCCTAGCATGCGATCAAAATCTAGCACTTAAACTAGAATTAAGTATGTTTCAAAGAGAACCACATTTTAATGACTACATCTTTGATTAAATATACAACTCGTAAGGTTTCAACATATGCAAATCTAAAGTAACGTAACGCAAAAACAGCATACCACAGGATATTTTGTTGGTGGTTGAAAGCCTGTTGATTTATGCGCAGTTTCGTACCACCATGGAGCCCAAACACCATCTATCGCTTTTGGACCAGCCTCCCATCTTAAAAGGAAGTTTCGTTGGAAACTTTTCATGAACAAAAAGGCTAAACTAAACTACAGTATCTACATTAATTCAAAAAGAACTAGACCAGAAGAGTATCAACTTAAATGGAATAGCGTCGGCATACTTGGGCATTGTGGGCTGAAAAGGAATATCCAAGTCTTCACAAAGACCGCTTAATGTAGCCTGCATCGTCAACGAGATAAAGGTGAAAAGAAAACAGAAGATTGAGAAAGTTTTATTTAAGCAATACATAGACAATATGCAATGCTTGGTCAATGCAGAGAAATCACTTATGATAAATTGTGGATAGATATTAAAAAAAAACTCTCTAATACCTCAGGATCTAGTTGAAGTTCTGCTGCATCAACGATGGGAGGGGGCTGCCCCAGTTGGGAGGGCTCACTATATATGGTGACCATTTCTGCCAAACCTAATTCAGCCAGGGACGGAGGAACAACCTTGTCAAAGGATGCCTGACAAACATCAAACAGTGACGTCAGTAAAACCACAGAAGAGATCAATCTGTGTTTACACAAAGACTCTTACCAAAATGTCAAGTGGATTCCGGATCAGAAGGAAGTGTTTTCCTTCCTTCATAAAATCACTAGGTAATTCAGGCACACGTTGCTTTGCGATATGCTGTGGATCATGAAAATACCAACACCAGTATTAAATTAACTAGAAAAAACACCGATACATAGAAAGCAAGTTTTGGGGTGGTCCAGTTAAGTTAACAAAAACACAGCCATTAGTCTGCTCAAATCAGAGAAAATATCGTTTATCACCTTACAGAGGCGATACTTCTTTCTTCCTGGACGGTAGATGATATCTCTTACAACTTTATTTCCATCAGGTTCCTGATACAAATGGCACAAAAACTCAAAGTGAAGAATCAGTAAAAAGAGGATCATATACGATGAAAACTTCTTCTGATGTCCACATTTCAACAAATTATAAATTAGAGCCATAACACAAAGTTTAGATTAAGAGGCACCGTGTCAAATTTTTACGGGAAATGAATATTTGGATGCAAACAACAAAATCCACAGGAAAAGACATCAGAAATCACGCTGTCGAATAACAGAAAATCACATCAATCTTATGTTTTGACAAGAACCAACGAAGTAACCTCTTCTTAAAATCCTCCAAATTCCATTTTAACCTCAAAGTAAGGAATCTAAAAATTAGAAAAAACGCTTTTAAGTTTTAACATAACATTGGCAAAAGGCAACCCTGCTCGCATAGATCTACTTTTCCTACACCAGCCACTGCCACTGATGCTAGCACGAACAACTGTAGAAAGCACGTGGCTTGTAGCTCAGTTGGTTAAGAGCATTCACCTATGCATTTGAGGTCCCATCTTCGCTATATAACCAATGGAAAAAAACTGACAAATTCACGAACTTTTATGATCAACCAAATCATTATTGAAACAAAAACCAATTGAGATCCTACCAAAGTAAAAAATATTTCCAAATAAAAGAGTAAAAAGTAAATAACTTGAGTAAAATTATTCTTACAACAGCAACTAAACTCATAATTAGGGATGAAACTTGTTTACTGACTTACCATTTTGGAAAGAACCTCCTCCCTGTAGGGCCTATCAGAACCTGTCACTTGCAGGAAAGTTGCATACAGTGGTTCATCAAGCACTTCTGTGTCATCCCTCTAAACACAAAACAATAAAAAAAATAAAAAAATAAAACAAAATTTATGTTTTCTTCTTCTGCATGAAAGACAGAATCTTTAACTTGCACTTTGTTTGGTATTGCTTCTTGCTTGGCTAAAAGCGTTTATGATAGTTAAAAAGTGCTTCTGGAAAAAGCAATACGAGCACAAGGAATACATGAGCAAAGGAATAGAAGCAGTCCCAAACGAGGCCTTTCAGAAGCCAAAAAATAATATTGAAGAGACTGGAGGGCACATGAGCAAAGGAGTACATGAGGCTGGTAGACAGTGATCTTGGAGTAGCCCATAAGTGAATCGCTTCCACTTCAGCTTCTGCTTGGTTCTTGAGCTCTTCCATGGTGGTTTGGTTTGGACTGAAATTAAAATTCCCAAACTTTTTGAGGGATCAACTGGGATTTTGAAGTTTTGAGAAATCTGAGCAAATTACTGCATGTAGAGGAAAGTAACTGATGATTATGCAATAAATACTATAAAGTGCATTTATTTTTTCTATTTACTATTTACTAATTGTATGTGAGATTTGAACTTATTTGGAATTGTTTTTGTGTTGCCGTTTTTAACAATTAAAAACGCTTTTGATTTTGTTGAACTGACAAGGTGAACATATTTTTTACCATAAAAGAATTCTTCGGAAGTTTTGATGATATATCACTAACAAATTAAAGTTTTGACATGTCAAAGATTACGTGGCACTCATTGTGAGTGTCACAAGTTGTACACATGACATATGACTCATAAAACGAGTCATGACACATGTCAATATTTGATGGAAGATAATTAAAAAAAATCTTTAATTAACCTTGATTTAAGTCAAACAAATCACGGGAGATAATCAACAAATAAAGTGGATGTCAAATAGGGAGATTGACCAAATAAGAATGACTAGATTAAGGATAAGTTGATTGATTGATTTGATTAAATCAAGATTATTTGATAAAATCAAATTGGATGCGATTTTTTTTATTTTTTTTTAAGAGAAATTGGACACGAATTAAGTTCAAATCACGTTTTGATTTTTTTGTTAATTAAATTTATTTGGTCAAATTGCTAAATTAATTGGTATGGGTCAAATTAATTGATTTGGTTCAAACCTCAATCAAGAAATGGAAAAGCCTATAAGTACGAGGCTCAAAAACAATGAAGAGCTCTTAAAAAAAATGGAACTTTAATGAAAAGTTTTCAGTACTGTTTACTTTAACAAAAAATCATAGTTTTGAAATCATTTTCATTAGTTTTCCTTAAAAAAAAAAATCCTCACATTCTTCAAACACTTAGGGGTGGTTTGGGAGTGAGGTGCTTAAAAAAAAGCTGTGAGGGTTTTAGGTGTTTGGTAAACTGAAAAAAAAAAGGCTTATTTTGGAAGCTGCTGTGAGAATAAGCTGAAATCAAAGGAAAAAGCTGAAGCTGCTATTTGCAGCTTTGGAAAACTGGCTTTTTTTCAAAGCACACGGAGCTACAGTGCTCCTTTAATGAAAAGACTCACTATCATACTGCTTTTTTTTTCTTTTCCCAAAAGCACTTTTACAAAAAAGTTTACCAAACACTCTGCTGATTTATTTCACAGCTCCGCTTATTCTCACAGCAGTTTTTTTTCAAAGCACAGCAATACCAAACCAGCCCTTAAAGTCTCAAACACTGTACACGCTCATAGAATTCAGAAAACCCTCTATATTTTTTGCCGCTCTCATGAAAAACCACCAAACACCACCTACACATGTCAGTTCTTACATCACCCCTCAAACCACCATTCCACTTTAATACTACGGCCTTATTCCTCTTCACTTGTAAATAAGAAGTTTTAGGTTAGAATCTCGTGGATGGTGAATTCAATACCAAATTAGGTTGCCCATTATGTGGCTTAGCTGAACTCTCCATTTCCTTAGTGTAAAAATATCGATGTACTAAAAAAAAAAAAAGGAATGTCTGTTGGTAAGGGTGCAATTCAGGCGGGTTGGAAGGTCAGCCCAATCCTACCCCAACTTTGACAATTCGGGCTTGGGTTTGGGTTGGGTTTCATTCGGGTTTAATTGGGTTAGGGTTTACTTGGATTGGGTTCGAGTTGTCCAACTTTTTTAAATTTAATCTTGTAACAACTTAGTTTCTAAGAATTCCTTAAAAAATTAAGCAAAGTAACATCAAAGCTAGCTAACTTTCATTTCATAAATCAATCTACTATAAAGCTTTAGAATTTAAGGACTATGAATATAGGCTAACTAATTGAAGTCTCTTATTCCCTAAAAGCTTAAGTAATTATAAAGGGTAATTTATTAAAAAAAAATATTAGAAATGGCGTTGGTTTTTGGACTTGGCTCACTTGGATGTATTATGAGCATTAATTGATATGAGTTATAATCTGGTTAGATTGAGTTTTGTTAGTCGGGTTGAGGATGAATGAGCAAATGATCAACCCAACTCAACCCAATTAATAATCGGGTTAAAATTAAGTTGAGTTGAACATAAACAGATTTGGATTGACCCAACCCAAATTGCACCTTATCCGTTGGGCCGCAGAAACTACCACCAGCCATATAAGCAAAAAAAAGAGCGATGACATCGTTGTGATGATAATATAATACGTTTGGTCCCACTAAAGGAAGTAGTAGGTCTGGTTTAGTCTTGTTCGGTTCAGTCTAATCGGTTGTACTCGATTTGGCCCCACTAAAGTTGGTACGTCGACACGTGCTTAGCCAAAGGCATGAGGATTTGTGAAATAGGGTGAAGCCGAGAACCGAACCGGTCAAACCAAAATTGGTTTTTCAATTTTTTTTCTGGTTCATATCAGCACGGTTCAATGCTTTATCCGTTCAAACGCCTGCCCCTAATCCCACAAAATTACAGAACGACACGTCGTAGTTTCACTTGTATGGTTGGTGTGAGCGCTTTTAATAACCTGGTACAGCTCCACTCCGTAGTGTCCGTAGTGTTGCTCTCGAACTTCACATTTTCGCGCCTAAAATCCAAGGTACTTTCTCCGTCTCTCGATCTCTGTTGATTGTTTGGTTGCCTGGAAACTGTAGGAAAGTTCCTTCGATTTACAATTTATCTATCATTTCTCAGTTGCCAAACAGATTTTAAAGCTCGCGATTCCGGAACGATTGAGATTTGTTCACTCTTTTAGCTGTTTGGCTGCTGAGAAAATGAACCTACGTCATTTGAGTTTCGATCGAATTTTCACTTTTCTAATCTGATTCAAACGCGATCGTTCACTTCAATTTCTAAGATTTCTCCAGATTTTGAGCAACAGTAGCATTAATCTCGCATAAGAATTCCGATTTTCTTTTATTTTCCGGCAACCAAACAGATCGTACGAGTTTTCCTTCCTAACTGACGCTCTTTCTGTGTTTTTATTTTTTGCAGCTTCGAATTAGCTTCTGATCGCGGCAAGATAATGGCGAGTATGACAATATGTGCTCGATTCCGGCCTTTGAGCTCCAAAGAGAGAAGAGATCACGGCGATGCAGTCTGCATTCAACACGTAGACTCCGAAACTTTCAGTTTCAAGGTTTTTTCTCATGAATCCATGGATTCCTGTAACTCTGCTACTATCTTTTCGTGCAAAACTGTTTGAGAAACAAAGTTTGAAGAGATTTGAATTATTGTACGGCTAGGATGAGAAGGATGAAGAATTCACATTTAGCTTTGATAAGGTGTTCTACGAGAAATCTGAGCAGGCACAAGTGTATGAATTTCTAGCTTCGCCTATTGTGCGAGGTATATCTTCGAAATGACATTAATTGATGAATTACGCTTCTCTTGCTTATTTACTTGAAAGAAAAGGCAAGAAATTCCGGTTAAACTCTAAAAATCTTTTATCCATGTGCCTTTGCGTAGAAATTAATTGATTTGGTATATAGTGTTCCCTTACATTTTCGTAGCGGCTGAGCTTATTGAAGGTCTTACTAATTGGGAATCGTCTTAGTCTGAATTACTGATTTTGTGTATTTCCAACTCAATTTCTGCTATTTATCTGCGCTGACCATGATACAGATGCTGTTGATGCAATCAATGGGACGATCGTTACTTATGGACAGGTGACGTAGTTGTCTAACTTTTCTCCTTATGGCGATCACCTGTATGTGTTAAATTTCTATCTAGTAATTGCATGTCTTGGTTGTTTTGTTGGTTCTAATTCACGAAACCTTTTGCAATGAATGCAGACTGGAGCGGGGAAGACATATAGCATGGAGGTGAGGCTGCAGTTTCACAATATTGTAGTGATGACTGCTAATCGATATTCAATTAATTAAGCTCCCACACGGTAATGTTTGCGTATTTGGTGCAGGGGCCTAGCATACTGGTACGTGACGAGCAGAAGAGAGGATTACTTCCAAGAGTTGTTGAGGGTCTGTTTGATTGCATTAAATCTTCTGGAAGAACAATGAAGCACTCAATCAAATTGTCAATGGTATTGAGATTTGCTTATCTTCCGGTGACATAATTGGTTTCAAGTTGTAACTTCTCTACCAATGTAATTCTCTGAATCTGTTTGTTTCTCTTTTCAGGTAGAGATCTACATGGAAAGAGTAAGGTAGGTGTAACCGTAATAACTCAGTTTGGCTTGAATGCACTATCTGTTTGGAACATGAAATAAGCTGAATAGGATGGAACTCCAGGAAGGTTCTAATAACTATACTATACTTGCGATTAGTACTAACAGTACTTCTTTTTATTCAGGGACCTTTTTGATTTAGCAAAAGACAACATACAGATTAAGGAGAGTAAATCGCAGGGGATATTGTTAAATGGAGTAACAGAGGTATGCTTACCTTTTGAAGCAATAAGTTGTATACCCATGATATCAATGGGAGTACTTATCGAATTTTTGAATCATCCCAGTCATGTTTTGATTTTTGAATCTGTTGCTTGCTTGAATCCTTTATTGTCACACAAATTACTATTTTGAGCCCAAGAAAACTGACGATTACAAACTGACTCCAAGTTCCCACCCCTTTTTTTGTAGATCTCTGTGTCGAGTCCTGCAGAAGCATTGCAAAGCCTATCTGTAAGATATATTTTCTTCAGAAATCTCTTATAGTTTGTGTATATGGTTTACATTCTAACGGCGATGTTGATAATGCAGAATGGCATAGCTAACAGAGCTGTGGGAGAGACCCGTATCCTTTGCTTTCTTTTTCCGTTCTAGTTATTTCTTAATTTCCTAGTATAAATAGCAGCATTCATTTTTGGCTGAGAATGTTATCCATTTTCTGTAAAACTTAACATCGATATAGAAATGAATGTGTCCAGCAGCAGAAGCCACTGCATATACATATTCACAGTTCAGCAAGAAGTAAAGAAAGATGAGAGGTAAAATTTCTTTAATTTATATTGGTGTCAAGTTTTCAATTGTATGATCTTGAACATTCTGAATTCATGTACAGGTCGAAAGCTGGAAAGTTAATTCTTGTAGACTTGGCTGGATCTGAGAAAGTAGAGAAAACTGGAGCTGAGGGAAAAGTTCTTGAAGAAGCTAAGACCATCAACAAGTCTCTCTCAGCCCTTGGAAATGTGATAAATGCTCTGACATGCGGGTCATCGGGCAAAGCAAACCACATTCCCTTCCGCGATTCCAAGCTCACTCGGATTTTACAAGATTCACTGGTCAGTTTCCCTCCCTTTAGTCCTCGCCATAGCATTGTCGATTTGTACTGAAGATCTACTGGTTCTCATCTTGCAGGGAGGTAACTCGCGTACTGCATTGTTGTGTTGTTGCTCTCCAAGTCCTTCTAATGCATTGGAGAGTCTGTCCACTCTTCGCTTTGGGATGAGGTATGCTTTTCAACATCCCATATCGCTTAATTACGAATTAGGACTCAAAATTGAATCTCAGGATTCTTAAGGTTAGATTCTTACTTTGCCAGGGCAAAGCATATAAAGATGTCACCGCGTCTCAAGGGTAACGAAGATAAATCTGCTAAAAGGAACGGACCTCCCTCCCCAACTAAAGACGAGTCATGCGAGAGAATTCTTGGGATGGTTAGAATACTCTAGTGAAAATGTTTTCTGTGACGTTTTTTTTCATAGCTTCTAATACCTCCATACTATAGTTGAGGGAGAGATTTGATGCCGAAGATGTGAAGTTACTTGAGGAGTTGTTCACATTGAGCGGAATTCTCTTTGATCCTTCTTCGCCTGAAGAGGTAGACTCAGCATTGGCGGATGTTACTTCACAGACGATTACCTTACTGCAGCAAGCAGTGGAAGATCTTGCATCCACTGTTGAGGAGGTACGTGCTACTTGGTACCGAGAATGGCGTGTAAACAGCCTTGTCTACTTTCTTCAATATGAATTTTGTTGTGCCGGTTTTATGCCGTTGCAGCTTAAGAGAGAGAATAAGGCACTGAAGAACGAATTAGCAGCTGCTAAAAGATTGGATGCACAAAGCGAAGCGGCTGGAGATACTTCAATTGTTCTGCATAAACCTTCAGGAATTATCAGTTCCGTTGTGTCACGGGTCAGGTCACTCTCTTCTATCAAGTTGTTGAAATGATAAAGAGTATAATCCTGCCTTACATGTGAGATTAATCGAACATCGCTCATATTTTAAAGAACTGCAACAGTAGGGTAGAGGCACCGACCATGTCATACATAGAGCATTTCTCACAAAAGCATGAGACCCTCTGTATTTTGGTCTCACTCAACCCTACGTAGTGCTAACCGGTCTAGCTACCCTAGTAAGGCAGCCTTACTGAATTCTATCAAAGCTAAGTAGAAATATAGAATATTTGCTAGAGGAGTATGCGCCTATTAAACTGGTTTGGGGAGAGATCTTGGGTAGGGCTTTTCAGTCCACATAAAAAGAGATATCTTGCGTTGGGCTTTTGAGGAGTAAAAGTGTTTTAGTTTAAAAGCCCAATTATCTTTTTTAACAAGGCATTATTGTCACTGTAATATACAACGATGCGGATCAATTTTTAATGCAAGAGAGCGGACACGCTGTGTTGGACTTGGATTGTCTGCCCCTCCTCATTTCATACCATTTTCATCGCCTCCTATTTATGTGGTCACGGTTAAATCACGTCAATAATTTTATATTGATTTTTTTAAAGAAATAATATGACAAAAAGTAATGGGAATATAAAATATTGACATGGCTTAACTGTGACTACAGAAATAAGAGATGATGGGAAAAGTATGAGATAGGGAGGGCAAACAATCCAGATCGCACTGTGTTGAGCTTTCAGAAAAGCACGTATTTGGATGTTAGGTCCAACGGGACTTAGAACTCAAATATGATATTGCCTGATTGGTAAGCTTTCTACAATCGAACAAAATTGCATCTCACAAAATCTTATATGAATCACAGAACAAAAAGAAAAGCTTTGTTATACGTTTTCAAAATACAAGTTTTGAGCCCTTGCTTGCTTTACTGCCCTTCATGTAGTTCTTGCTTAAAGTAGTAAAAAGTCCCATCCGGTTTTCTAAAATTCCAAATACACCCCTTGGAACCTGTCTTATTATTTGACCTAGCAAACGGTTGTGTTTGTCGTGTTCGTGTTGTTTTCGAGTCATACATGTTATCTTAAAGGGTCGTATTTTGCCAAACCCGTTATTTTAAAAAGTTCTTAATAGGTGATCCAATAACGACTCGACTCGTTAACGGAGTATGTCGTTTTGTGTCAAGTTAATGGGTCATGCAAAAAATTATCACATCTAATATCTGGATTTGACAAATGATATCTTATCGGGTTTTTAACGAGTGACCCGATAACGATCCGAATTGTTAAAAGGTGACCTGATAGCGACCCATTCGTTAAGGAGTTGACCCAAAACTTGTTTTTTCGTGTTGGGTTAAAAGATCGTGCAAAAATTATCGAGCATACTTATTCTGGGTGACTAATTAGCCAAAGGATAATCCTAGAGAGATCAAATTTTTATACTAAATTTGCAAATCAAACAATGTGTCATTAATAAAAAATAAGCATGTTAAGCAATATTTAATTAATAATCAAATCACTAACAACCACATCATTAAGTTTATACAATTCAATTTAGGGGTGTGATATCCATACACCCCTTTTTACTTCTCTCACACTCTTTTAATTTTCGGCTGTCGGATCAGATAAATTAAAGAAGATCAAATGACAGAAATTAACAAATATAGCTGTGTTCGTTGGGTGTTTTGGTACATTCAGTTGTAGATAGACAACATGTTAAGGGCATAATCGTAGTTTTATACTTTGCTTTTTTGGCAACATTGAAACTTGGAAAGTCTTTCCGAAACTCAAAGGAAACCTTGGCTTTCCAACGAAAAATAGGAAAAGAAAACTTCGGCTCCGTTACCCAAAACTACCCTATAAATATTACTTCTTGTCTCACATGCTTAATGCTTCAATCACATTGCAGCTGCTCTCTCTTTGAACATTAAGCTTTTCAAATTCCAACATCCATGGCTGCCAAGAACTCCATTATTCTCCAAGTTTTTGCCTTCCTGGTGATTGTCTTACCGGTTGCGAATTCGATAAAGTTCAGCTATCCGGCGGTTTTTAACTTTGGGGATTCAAATTCCGACACCGGCGAGCTCGGTGCCGGGCTCGGTTTCAATCTTCCACTGCCTTATGGACAGACCTACTTCAATCCTCCGTCGTCATCGGGAAGGTCTTGCGATGGCCGTCTGATCGTAGATTTTCTAAGTAAGTTTCTGGCCTTATTACTCACATAGTCACATGCACTACCTCCGGATGTTGATAAACAACTGTGTATCTCGTGCATGCACTAGTAAGTGTATTATGTATATATCGTATCCATTTTTACTTTTCACATACCCTTGTTAATTTGTTGTCATTGAGCTTCTTCAATTCATTCGTTCATTCGATATAACGGCCAAAATTTGATAAAAGTGTATGAAAAGTAATAATGGGTGTGTGGATAGTATTACCATATATATAAGCTATGTAGAACAGTGTCTTTAATTTGGACATATTCATGTGTAAGAAAATAAAAGTGTGAAAATCACTTTCGTATTAAGTGTATAAATGTTCTTTTTAATGTGTTAAATCAAATATATATATTGAGTACAGAAAAATAGAAACTATTCAATTTAAAATTGAAGTAATTAAACGAGGAGTGTGAAAGTCATTACTTTTAATATTTATAAGAAGAGAACTGCTAAAACCCTCTCAAAAGTATGACTCTATGTAGACTCTCTGACACCTTATGTTTTTGACACAATATTTTATAATGTTAGCACGAAAATTAACGTTAAAACTGTAAAGTGACAGATATATTATGGAAGAGTTCCTTAGCATTTCTCTTAGGAGAATGATGCTACATTGCTTACATAAAATATAACTTTGTTGATTGGGGTTTGTAGTTTGTAGTCTTGTACACTTGGCGTTTTGCCATCATTCATCCTCTCCATAAGTCAAAGCAAACTTTTCAAGCTTTCACCATGCTCATAAACTTGGCTCCATACGTCACATGACATGATGCATGATCTTATATTTTGGTGGTTGGGACATAACACATCCGTGAACATTAAGCCTCTTCATCCATGGCCACCAAAATTTTCACCATCCAAATTCTCACCTTACTTTCCATTTTTCCACCACCTTCAAACTCAACGGAGTTCCGCTACCCGGCCGCTTTCAACTTCGGCGATTCAAACTCTGGCACCGGCGTGCTTGCTGCCGGATTTGATTTCAAGCTCCCACCACCTTATGGACAGTCTTTCTTCAAAACTCCCTCCGGGAGGTTTTGTGATGGCCGTCTCCTCATAGATTTTCTCAGTAAATTTTTCAGTTTACTTTACCCTGCAATTTTTCGGTTTAATCAACTTTCACATTTTTATACATTACACATGTAAATGTATATGGATATTGTTTGAGATATAGGATTGGACTGGTTAGTCAAGACAGTATGTCCGCTCTTTACCTCTCAGTTCGAACCCTCCCTCCCCATGGATTAAATATCGCTTTTGTCTTGGGCCTTTGGCTTTCCACATGTGAAAGCAAACCAACAACTTACACTTGAGCCCCACTGCTCACCAAACAGAAACTTATCAACAAAGGCTTCATAAAGTATAATATATTTTTCTATTGGTTTGTTTGCATTTAGGTGAAAGCAACAGCCGAAGAAGCGAGAGAACTTCCTGTTGCATTTTCCATGGCTACCAATATCTGCATTATCCAAATTCTCACATTGATTTCCATCTCCTTGCCTCTTTCCAAATCCATCCACTTCAACCACCCTGCCGTTTTCAACTTTGGCGATTCGAATTCCGACACTGGCAACCTTGTTTCCGCAGGCATTGAGACCATTATTTCTCCTTATGGACAATCTTATTTCAAAACCCCATCTGGGAGATACTCCGATGGCCGCCTCATCGTCGATTTTCTTAGTAATTTTCCATTTTTTTTCCCTCTAAGCTTTGTTCTGCTGCGTTTAATTCACGTTATGAGTTCGACTTTGATCTCAAGTTTATGTTAGTTCTAATTTTTTTTAAAAATTGTTTCGTGACTGCTCTTTATTGTGTAATGTTTTTGTAGTGGATGCAATGGAGCTTCCGTTTCTCAATGCCTACTTGGATTCAGTTGGCCTGCCGAGTTTCCAAAAAGGTTGCAACTTTGCCGCGGCGGGGTCAACTATACTTCCTGCAACTGCAACATCGATCAGCCCATTTTCTTTCGGGGTCCAGGTCTCCCAGTTTTTTAGATTCAAAGCCAAGGTTCTTGAGTTGCTAGCTAAAAAAGAAAGCTCTCCCAAGTATCTGCCCACGGAAGATTTTTTCGCGAAAGGGCTCTACATGTTCGATATAGGCCAGAATGATCTCGCCGGTGCATTTTATTCGAAATCATTGGATGAGATTCTCGCTTCTATTCCAATGATTTTGACAGAATTCGAAACTGGAGTAAAGGTCAGTACATTAACACAACAAGGATGGTCAATACTTTGAATTTAAGTAAGAAGAACATCCACCTGACATTCTTTGTTTTCGTTTCAGAGATTATATGACCAAGGAGGTAGGAACTTTTGGATACACAACACAGGTCCTCTCGGATGCTTGACGCAGAATGTTGCCAAGTTTGGAACTGATCCCTCGAAGTTTGACGAACAAGGATGCGTCAGCAACCACAACCAAGCTGCTAAACTCTTTAACCTGCAGCTTCATGCTCTCACCAAAAAGTTGCAAGGCCAGTACTCGAATGCAAGTGTCATATATGTTGATATCTTTTCGATCAAATCTGAGCTCATTTCAAATTATTCGAAAAATGGTTAGTACATCTGAGTGCCTTGTGATTCTTCATTGCGAATTATATCGTGCATTACATATATACGTAGTTCTTTCTGTTTTAATCATCTCATATCTGATTTTATGGATTGTATCTGCAGGATTTGAGCAACCTATTATGGCTTGCTGCGGTTACGGAGGTCCCCCGTTGAACTACGACAGTCACATTACCTGTGGACAAACAAAGACGTTGAATGGAACAACTGTCACAGCCAAAGGATGCACAGATAGTTCTGATTACATTAGTTGGGATGGAATTCATTACACCGAAGCTGCGAATCAGTATGTCTCGTCCAAGATACTCACCGGGAAGTATTCTGATCCACCCTTCTCGGATAAAATGCCTTTCCTTCTGAAGCTCAAGTTCTGAAGCCCCAACATGTTTTATTTACATATTTAAACATTTGTCTGGTATTTGTAAGGCCAACTCTTAAATGTAACAGTAAACCTTAAGTTCTCACAAATTTATACAGAAATTCCATTTCAAAAGTGTGGCACTGGATGCATATTTCTCACATAAAAATTCATCTGTATAAGCGGGTATACACCGTTGCATCATACGCAAGCAGACAGGTTGTGGCCGAAAATGAAAGCATTCGCATATAACCAACTCAATTCGATCATATATTTTTACAGATATCAACAAGAACCATGTTCCTCTCTGATTTCAAGTCTCTCATCAACCATTTGAATTCGATCGATTTGTACAACTGCATGTTATGCATGTTTTCGAAATTTAAGAGAAATAATGAAAGACGAACCTAACTGATGAACAAGTTCCATGCTTACTTCCTTGAGACATAAGCATAGTACTGTGCCATAGGAACAACAAAGGCAATCACCAGCAATCCTCCAACTACAAGACTGAACTGCCCGCGTTTCTCGTCTGTCTCCTCCTTGGTTTTGAAGTTGGATTCGCGTTTGTTTTCATTAACTTTGGGTCCGCCAGGATCTGGA